AGCCAAAATACCACCAAAAGCTGCAGAGCAAATACGCTCATGGTTTTTTCACTTTGTTCTGTCTTCCAGGCCAGCCTGAAAGCTGACTATATAAATAAGCCCTTTGCACAGCGGTGTCAAGACTTGGTTAAAGTCATTGAGGATTTTCCAGCAAAGGTACAGGTCTGCTGGGGTCTCTCTTTGGGGCATGTCTTTCCTGGAAAGACTATCATAGTCACTGGTTCCCTCCTCTGAGGCACAGAGGCCTGACCTCTGTGATATCGTGACTCATGGTGATGGACACGTTTAACTATGCGATTCTGGACCGCAGGTGCTTCTGTCCCTCGGGGACACTTGGCAATGTCTGAGACATTTTTGGTTGTCACCACTGGGGGCAGATGGGACATATGCTCCTGGCCTCTAGTGGGCAGAGGCCAAGGATGCTGGAAACATCCACAACGCACAGGACAGCCCCCTGCAACAAAGAAATAATCCAGCCCAAAATGTCAGTAGCACCAAAATTGAGAGACCCTAGTGCAAAAACCGAAAATATGTGTTCAAATCACACCTGGAAGCGTCAATTCCAGGAAGCTGGCCTGGACCAAGAGTTAATACCAAATGGCAGCCGGTCAGTTATGTTTCAGGGGCTTCACTCTGAGAAAGGATGTTGCCACCCTTTTAATAGCACTCTCTTTAGTTCAGAAATTTCTGACATTTTAAAAAGTCTTTTAATTACAGGCTGACTGATTTAACTGGCCCAAGTCTAAAGCGGTGGTTCTGGGTATACCATGCGACCCCAGCAGAAGAATCCAAAGCTACTCCTCTCATTGGCATGCTGTACCGGGGTTCCTGTGGGTGCAGGACTGTCCCTGTGGGTCTCTACCAGGGTGGTGTGACCTTCTCAGAGGGAGCGGGTAAGGCAGAGTGCAGGACTTGAGCCGGGGCAGGAGTGGGCACCTGCCCACAGCCTCACTGTTTCAGGAGCTGCACACCATCTTCCCGTGGCTGGTGGAGAGCATTTTCGGCAGCCTGGATGGCATTCTCGTTGGCTGGAACCTCCGCTGCCTACAGGGACGGGTGAACCCTGTGGAGTACAGCATCGCCATGGAATTTCTAGATCCTGGGTAGGTAGGTTTGTCACCTTAGAAGGACTAGGTGCTTCCTCAGGGTGATCTCATTTTTAAATCAATCTGTTTCTTAAGAAACAATCAAAAGGTGGGTATGGTGGCTCGCACCTATAATCCTGGCACTTTGAGAGGTTGGGCAGGAGGATTGCTTGAGGGCAGGAGTTTAAGACCAGTCTGGGCAATATGGCTAGACCCCATTTCTGCAAAAAAATTTTAAAAAATTAGCCATGCATGGTGGCATGTGTCCGTAGTCCCAGCTATCTGGGAGGCTAAGGCAGGAGGATCACTTGAGCTGAAGAATTTGAGGTTGTAATGAAGTGTGATTGAACCATCACACTCTAGCCTGGGCTACAGAGCAAGACCCAAGTCTAAAGCAGTTTGTGGTTCATTTTGCTCTGTTTTTGTTTGTTTATTTAATTTCATATTCAGTGGCCCAATGATGAAATTGGTTTATAAACTTCAAGCTGAAGACTATAAGTTTGACTTTCCCGTCTCCTACCTGCCTGTAAGTAAACCATGGTTTTGAGAGTGGCACTTGGGACAGCTGGTCCTACATAGTGGTCATGGTGGTGGGCAGACAGGGGCTCAGAGGGCTGGGAGGGCCTGTGACAGTGGGCAGAGGAGAATGCCACAGTGGCTATTCAGGGTCCAGGAGGCACCACAACAATAGGAGAACTACAACAGCTACTGATTTTTAAAGATCATCCCAAGCTCTGCCCATGGAGAACTGCCGTGCTGCCTGGTGTGCTCCTGGCTGAGGGTCACGTGGGGCCACGTGACCAGGTACTTTGCTCTTCTGAGTCTCCCGTCTTCCAGGGGCAAATTGCAGAGTGCGTTGCTCGGGGTACGTGGGCAAAGGAGATGGGGCTCAAAAATGCACTCAGCTGCTGACCTTGCTGTTTACAGGTTCTCGTGTGTATGGTGGGAGAGACCCTAAGCAACGGCTCTTATGCTCCTACACTGCCCACGGGCAGGTTTCATGTGCTAGTTCCTTCTCCAACAGCCTTCTGAAAGGGCTGCAGTGCGTGTAGGGCACTGCCCACAAGCCTCCCTCACTTTCTGTGCAGGGCCCTGTAAAAGCGTCCATCCAGGAGCGCGTCCTCCCTGACAGCCCTCTGTACCACAACAAGGTCCAATTCCCCCCGACCGGAGGCCTTGGCCTGAACCTGGCCCTCAGTATCCTTTGGCAGCCCTGTGGTTGGGAGGCTGGGGGTGGCTCAGCACACGGTGGTGGGTGGCCCAACAACCCTGTGGTGTTTGCCCCTGACGCTGCCATCAGATCCGTTCGAGTATTATATATTCTTCTTTGCCCTGAGCCTCATCACTCAGAAGGTACAGAAGGGTCACCTCTGAGTGCAGTTGGCTGCTCCAGAGCCTGTTGGGAGGGGCGTGGCTGAGGCCCAGGGCTCCCCTGAGCTTGTGGGGCTCTTGGCATCTGGGCAGGGCCCAGAGCCCACACTGACAACAAGCTTGGTTTTCCAGCCACTCCCTGTGTCCCTCCACGTCCGTACTTCAGACTGTGCCTATTTCATCCTGGTGGACAGGTACCTGTCGTGGTTCCTGCCCACTGAAGGCAGTGTGCCCCCCCCACTTTCCTCCAGCCCAGGGGGGGCTAGCGCCTCACCAGCTCCCAGGTAAGGCTGCCCTGGCCATTAAGGGAGTGGCCTGGTCAGTGACATCACCCATGGGGACAGTGGTGCCACCCTTTTCCAAGGTTCCCCAATTGTTCTTATGCCTCACTCCCCAACCCCAGCGGTCCAAGCACAGATTTGAGGACGGGGTGAGGGGGCGTCTGTGTTTTAGTTCTTTGTGTCTGTGGCTCTCACTGAAGCTGTCGGGTCTCTGGCTTCCTTGAGGCCTCACTCTAGTGTGGGAACAGGCTTCTATTCTGCTCTGAGCAGCCCTCCCCGCAGGTGGTGTCTCAGCTCAGCCCCACACTGAGCGGCGGGCAGGGCGGAAGGGTTGTCTGGACGAAATAGAATGGTAGGAATCTGTGTGGGCCCCTGGGCCGGATCTTGGCCTGAATGCGAGGCCCTGGGCTGAAGAGCTTTCTGTGCCAGGCCAAGCAGCCTGAGCCTGACACTGGGGTACAGGGGCGGGGGTGGCACTGGGGGCCTCCTGCCTGGCTACTCTGGGGCCTTGGGGGGCCCTTACTGGAGGCCTCTTGGCCCACTCCCCAGGAAACCCTCCTGCCCTGGCGGCAGCTCCCTGTGCTCTTCTGACCCTCCTGAACCTCATGGCCCATCTCCTTCCGCGGGGGGCTGCATGCTGGCGCGTCCCTGCAGACGCTGCTCACTGACCTCTGCTGGCATGTGCAGGCCAGGCCCTTACCCAGAACTCACACGAGTCAGGTAGCTAAATTCTGCCTTTGAGAGGACGGGAACCTGCCCCACCTCTAGGTTCTGCTTCTCGCCCACAGCCTCACCAATCTATCAGGGTCACTGGCCACTGCTGCCACCTGGGCAACCTCTCTTTCCACTATAACCCCCACCTTGCTCTCCACACTCTGAGGGCATCTGTTAAATATGTTTTTTTTCTGGTCCATGTAAGTAAGTTATAGGACCCCAGCCTCTTAATTTCATCCCTCCTACGCTTATTAGTGGGCACTCTATGATAAGGAAGACTTTTCTCTTCCCCATTTATTTATTTAAGTATTATCAGTAGGGACCTGACGGTTGTCGTGTAATTAACAGGTTATAATTCGTGACTGCTCTCGTTGATTTTGTTGTTCACGTTGCCCCTGGCTTGGCCAGCGGGAGCCCTGACTCGGGCCTGTTTCCGTGTCTCCCTCAGGACCCCAGCCATGTCCTTTGCTTCCTACGGCCTCCACGACACCAGCCTCCTGAAGCGACACATCTCCCATCAGACGTCTGTGAATGCAGACCCCGCCTCCCATGAGATCTGGAGGTCAGAAACTCTGCTCCAGGTGAGCACAGAGGACACTGGTATCTGCTTGTTTCAGAGTGAACTGCTCAGCCACCATCCACCATGTGGGCAGAGTCCCAGGGATGGCCCCTCAGCCTGGGGGGGTTTCCAAACTGTTGGTGTTTTCCTGCTGTGACGTTTAGAGAACAGATGAGAAGAAATGTCATTGACAATGTTTTTCATTCCAGGACTCCTGTCTTCGGGAGTTTTGTTTGGTTTTGCCCGTGGTGACATAATTGTTGCAGAGTCTTTCAGTTTCCAGTGGATGTGTGTAAATGTTGTCCCCACTGCACCCTGCCCCTCTGACTTCCTTCCTTGTCATTCGAGATGTGTCATGTGCTCACTGTCGTGTGGGTAGCGAGCCCTACCCCAGCAGCATTTTCATCATGCTGGATGGTGAGGGGCCTGTGACACCTCCCCCTTGGTTGGCAGGGAGCCCCCAGCTCTTGCATGTCAGGGGATCCAAATGGGAGGTGGCAGAGACCCTTGTTTGCCCTTGTGGGCTCTGGCCTCTCACACAGGCGTGGGCTGGCTCACTCACTGAGCAGTCCTGCCTTTCTGAGCCACCTCCCAGGCCCTGGTTTGTCTTCTGAGCACACATTGGAGATTCAGCTGGTTTTGACCTGGATCCTGGGGCTGACTTGGTAGCCACAGCAT